AAGATGACAATTTCAAAGCCCTATTGGCAATAAGTGCATTTAAAAGAGCAGTTGAGCTCAGTCATTGTGGCTCAGTGGTTGAACATCAACCCATGAACCAGGAGGTCAAGGTTCCATTCTCAGTCAGGGCACATGTCAGGATTGCAGGCTCCATCCCCAGGAGGGGATGTACAGGATGCAACCAATCAATGATTATCTCTCATCATTGATGTTTCTATCTCTCTTTCCCCCTCTCTTCCTCTCTCTGAAATCAATAAAAACATATTTGAAAAAAGAGAGTGATTGGAACCATTATATAATTTCAACAGTAAAGGAAGAACTTCTCCCAGATCAGTACCCAAGGCCTTCAAGCAACACCTTCATTTTCTGAAACCACTGCTTTCAGAGATTTTTAAAGAGATTATTTTGAGAGAAACCAAGGTGGCGGCATTGGGTAGACACCCGAATGCAGCCTACCACAACAAATTTGAATTTAGAATTGGAAAACAGGGGAGGCATTGCCCTGAAGCACCGAACAGCTAGCTGAGAGGAGGCTCTGCCATCTGGGAAGGAGAGAGAAGGCACGCTGAACCTCAGGAACTGTGAAGGTATGGAGAACTGTGTGCACGAAAAGGCGCTGGCTTAATCCCGGCAAGCAGAGAGGGAGGGCCGGACCGAGATTGCTGCTGGCGAACTCCTGGAGTGTGGAGAGGGTGGACAGCTAATACGCGGCTGGCTTTCTTGTTCCAGAGGAAAAGAGAATTACCCTATTGCTCTGATAGATGGCCCCAGTAAGGGAGAGGCCAGACTGTCAGGCAGTGGGCAGAGATCTCTCAGAGGTGTGTGAAGCCAGTGGCCATTACTGTGGGACTTGGGGAGGAGCTGAAGGGAAAACAAAGCTTGTCTGCACCACCCTGAGACTCAGCCCCATCCAAGCTGAGCACAGACGCTCTCCCAGAGGCTGGCTTTCTCTAAGGAGGGACTGGCCGGAATCCAAAGTTTGCCTGCACTTTTACCAAAGAGGTGCGCGTGCCTGCAACCAATCTTCCGAAACTCACTGCGAACAGGACTTTTCTAAGGCAAGACTGACAGGGAACCAAAGATTGTCTGCACCACCCCGAGACCCTGCCCCATCCAAGCAGAGTACAGAAGCCATCCTAGCTGAGACACTGCTGATCCTCACAGCCAATTGGCTTGGAGATCAACGCTTCCCAGTGATACCAACAATAAGCAAGGCTTAACAACAAGACTGCACACACAGCCCACAAAGGGCTACATCAAGACTGTCCACCGCAGGTAATTGGGAAGGCTGTGCTACTGGGCTCTACCAGAACACCTAGCACACAAAACTATTCCATCAAATCAGAAAAACAACTAAAATGCAGACAAGAGGCAGGACACAATGGAAGGAAATGGAGGAAAATAAAAGATTGGACATTGAGTTCAAAACTACAGTTATAAGGTTGTTCAAGAATATCCTAAAAAAGGCCAATAAAATAAATGAGACCTATGAGTATATGAAAAGGGAGCAACTAGAAATAATAAGGGATAAATTAAAAATGAAGAAAACATTGTCTGAAATAAAAAATATTACACAAAGTCCTAAAAACAGAATTGAAGATCACAAGAATCAAGACAAAGATTTAGAACATAAAGAGCCAGAGGACATTCCTCCACAGAAGCAAAAAGATAAGAGAATCCAGAAAGTTGAAGATAGTGTAAGAAACCTCTGGGACAATTTCAAGCCAACCAACATCAGAATTATGGGGATCCCAGAAGAAGAGAGAGAGCAAGATACCGAAAGAATTCTGGAAGAAATAGTGACAGAAAACTTCTCCCACCTGGGGAAAGAAATAGACTTACAAGTCCAGGAAGTCCGCAGAACTCAAAGAAAAGGAATCCAAAGAGGACCACACCAAGACACATCATAATTAAAATTCCAAGAGCAGCCAAGGCCGGTTTGGCTCAGTGGTAGAGCGTCGGTCTGCGGACTGAAAGGTCCCGGGTTCGATTCCGGTCAGGGGCATGTACCTTGGTTGCGGACATATCCCCAGTAGGGGGTGTGCAAGAGGCAGCTGGTCGATGTTTCTCTCTCATCGACGTTTCTAGCTCTCTATCTCTCTCCCTTCCTCTCTGTAAAAAATCAATAAAATATATTTTAAAATTCCAAGAGCAAAAGGCAAAGAGAGAATATTAAAAGCAGCAAGAGAAAAGCAGGTAGTTACCTATAAAGGAATATCCATACGATTGTCAGCTGATTTCTCAACAGAAACCATGCAGGCCAGATGAGAATGGAAAGAAATATTCAAGGTGATGAATAGTAAGAACCTACAGCCAAAAATACTCTACCCAGCAAAGCTATCACTCAAAATTGAAGGCCAGATAAAAAGCTTCACAAATAAAAAAAGCTAAAAGAGTTCATCACCACCAAACCAGAATTATATGAATTGCTGAAGGGGGTTATTTAGGAAGAGGAAGAAGATAAAGATAAAAATTATGAACAATAAATACGTAACTATCAATAAGTGAATCTAAAAATCAAGGGAATTAAAATTCTGATGAACAATATTAACTGGTGAATATAATAGAATCAGAGGTATGGAAGGGGAGTGGACTGACGATTCTCGGGGAAAAGGGGAGTTGCGGGAAGAGACTGAACAAAAGCTGTGCACCTATGGATGAGGACAATGAGGGATGGGGAAATGACAGAGGGTGGGGTGGGAACCTGGTGAAGGGAAGCAATTGAGGGGGGGAAGAGAAACACATTTGTAATAATCTGAACAATAAAGATTTACTTAAAAATAAATAAAAAATAAACATTAAAAAAAAAACCCGGATTCTTTCATGCCAGGAACAGTATTTGTTTGTTTGTTTGTTTGTTTGTTTTAAAATAATGTCAGATTTTGGGGGGAAATGCAAAAATGATATTAAAATTTTTCATACACTTTTCCCAAATGTTATCATGTTGTCCTGCCCGCCTTAATATTCTTTCTTTCCCTTTCCCTAACTCTGCCTTTACATTTTTCTAAAACATTTTAGAATCGGTTGTACATGTGGTACCCTTTTATCTCTAGATAGTTGAAAATGTATTTTCTAAAAACAAGGAAATTTTCTTACATAATCACAGTACAATTCTCCAGATCAGATCATTAACACTGTCACAAGAGTTATTATGTAACCTACAGGTCTTATTCAAATTTTTTCAATTATTCCATTAATATCCTCTTTAAGATTCTTCTTTTAAATATCCTGTGGCTCTCATTTGGTGAAATAATTATCAGCCCTTTTAGGAGGATGTAGCCATGCACACAGCACGTGCAAAATAATGTAAGCCTCATTGATTTTCAGGAAAAGGATACTGAAACCTCCTTTTAGCTGTGCATGCAGACAGCTGTTTTCCCAGAAAGAGACTTCAAATGAAGGCTCACTCTATTCCCCAAAGCCTGTGTTATCAAAGTAGATTCTGAATTGTTTCTCTTTTGTGTAGGGGATTTACCTGCTGCTTTCCTGATTCCTCATTACACTGAGAGAACTGAAATAATAAAAACATCCTGGAAGATGTTTTTGCTTTCCTCTCACACATTACAACAAAGTAATTTCCTATTTCAATTTTAAATCAAGAGAAGATGCACATGGCATGTAGGATTCACTAGTTCCTCCAAGCAGGTTATTTCATTCCCAGCCTCTGAGACTATGGCTCTGCTGTAAAGGAGTAATGAGGCCAAAAGATAACAACCTAAATAAATGTCCATCAGAAAGAGGACTGAAGAAATTCTAGTGTATATAATTAATGTAATACTGTGCAACTACCCAAATGAAGATGCAACTGTATATGGTCCCCAAGTAAATCAAGCCTAACAAGAGTAAGTGGATAAGTCATTTTGACTCTGTAGAAGGGAACTGGGGAACTTGGGGACTTAGAGGTGGAGGAGAAACATTTATAGTAAACCCTTTTGTAGCATTTGATTTTTTTTCATTTTTACCATATGTATATGTAATGTTTTGGGGGAATAGTAGATAGATGATTAGATAGATGAATAGCTAGATGATAGATAGATAGATAGATAGATGAATAGTTAGATGATAGATAAAATGAATCATGGGTATCTGAAACCGGTTTGGCTCAATGGATAGAGCGTTGGCCTGCGAACTGAAAGGTCCAGTGTTCGATTCCGGTTAAGGGTATGTACCTTGGTTGTGGGCACATCCCCAGTAGGGGGTGTGCAAGAGGCAGCTGATGGATGATTCTCTCTCATCGATGTTTCTAACTCTCTATCCCTCTCTCTTCCTCTCTGTAAAAATATCAATAAAATATATATTTTTTAAAAAATGAATCATGGGTAAGTAGATTTAAGACCAAAAGTTTGAGGAAAAAAAAAAAAAAAACACAGCAGGTTCCATATTCTCCAGCTGCACCTTTTGTTTTTAAAGCCATCACTCCTTTTTCCCTCTCTTGTTAGCAGGAATCTTATCCTTCCTTCCTTGGGTAGTGGAGACACAAACAGACTTAGTCATTCATAGACAAACTTTGAACAGAACCGCACACCCTGCACAGCCTCCAATACAGTTTTTTAGACTTAGAAGTGCTGGGGACGGAGGGGGGAGGGGAAATGAGGAGCAATCTTGGGCAGTCTAAGTGGGACCTCGCCTCTCCGGGTCCCAGATTGGCATCACTTCCCCTCACCCTTCCATTCCTTCTTGTGGTTTTCTCCCCACCCCCGCTCCAGACCCAGAGCATCAGGCGACTGGGCTGGCGCAAATTGCCGCCCACTTGTGCCACCGCCCACGGGGCTGCCTCGTGACGTCACGGCTGAGCGAGGGGGCGCCGCCTCCCAGGTGCCCGCCCCTCCCGGCCCCGCAACCAGACTTGCCCTTTAAAAGAGCGGGGGGCCTGCGCCACATCGCGGGCACCACAGACACACGACTGCTTTCTGGAGCATCTCCATCTCTTCTTCGGTCCGTATCTCGCTCCCCTGGACCATCTGCCCATCTTCTCCGCGCGGATCGCGGCGAGCCGGGCCATGCAGCCGGCTGTGCTTCTCGGCCTCCTGGGAGCCGCGATGGTGGCCGGTAAGTGGGCGCGGCGGGCTCTTCAGCACCACGGACAGCGCCAGGCTCTTGTCTTCCCCGTGGCCCGGCGTCTTAGCTGGACCATACTGGGAGAGAAAGAGGGTTCAGGGGAAGGTTTCTCCCTCTTCTTCAGGTTCTGAATTCCTCCTCTTCTCTGGTGATTCCCTTCAACCCCCGCTCCACCATCTGACTTGGAAAAAGCCAGAGGGCTTCCTAGCCCAACCAGAGGAATTTCAGTCTTTTCATACCTGGGTTTCCCTTCCAGAGGGAGAAAAGGTGTCCGTGCCTTCAAGGCACGCTGTGCTCAGTTCTAAATGGTCAGGCCTCTCTACCGGCCTGGAGAGACTCTGTGATCGTCTTATGCTGTATCTGATTTAAGTATTTGTTGCCTTTTTTAAAACTAGATAACAAAGGAGTGACAGGAATTCATGTAATATGATATAGTTGGCACCTGCATATTTCCCTTTGTTATTATTATTATTATTATTAATACTACATAAACATGATGAGATAAAAATCTCATACGTATATAAAATATCATATCTTTTTATTATCATGTTCATCTATGATATATGTATATGCGTGTTCATGTATATGTGTGCACAGGGTTAATGTAATATTTTTCTGTATTTTGTATTTCTGTTGCTAGAGAAAGGCAATTTCACACTCAAGTTAAGATATTTTTAAGTTATGAATGGAGACTTCAGCAGATATTTTTGTTTTTGTATTCCAGAAAAGCAATAGAATAGAAAATAATTACAAAGATATCCTTAGAGTGATAAATTGTTTGTCAATTTGGGAGGATAAACTTTTTCTATTTTTTTTAAATTGAGGTATAATTGACATATAACAGGATAAAATATTTGAGTGCCTCTCTCTTTTTTAAAAAATCTTCACCTGCAAATATTTTCCCATTGATTTTTAGAGAGAGAGGACAGATAATTGGTTGTCTTCCACACATGCCCTGACCTGGGCCAGGAATTCAGTCTGCAACTGAGGTACATTCCCCTGACCTGGAATAAAACCTTTGATCCTTAGGTCCTTAGGCCAATGTTCTAACCACTGAGCAAAACAGTCTAAGGTGACAGTTTCTCTTGATGTGTGTAAAAATATGGGATTAATCTTTCAAATTAGCTCTGGAGATTTTTAAAAACTGTGTGTGTGTGTGTGTGTGTGTGTATTGAAGTAAAGTCATGGAGTATTGAGACCATTGAGAAAAAAATAGATCACCAGATTAAACTGGAGGTTTTCTTTGGCTGTTTTAATGACCTCATAGAAAACAATTTTTTTTTATCTGAAATTGAGATTCTAACTTGAATTGAGGTATTATCATTCATGAATATGAAGCTTTTATTGACAACAATTACTGGATCCAAAATGCAAAGAGACAAAAGGAAAGCCAGTGGTCATTTACTTTATTGCAAGCTACATACATTTAGAATTTTCTAAAATGCTCGCATTCTTACAAATTGCCTATAAATGTTCTCAATGTAATTAAAGAAATCCAAATGAATAATTTAGAATCTTTCTGGCCAAAAATACCTTCAGAAAGGAATTGCTTAAAAGGCCAAAGCTGGGCTGTACATTGTACTGTGCATCACAATAGCAGTGACATTTGTGAAGCCTCTTTAACAATGGTGGTACAATACTTACAGCTCTCTTATGTAAGAGAATATGTTAAGAAGGGTTCATATTTTAATAAGAGCTAAAATGGAGACATTGTATTTAAAAATTTATACTAGCTATAATTCATCCACCCTTTAAAGTACATAACTTAGTGATATTTAGTATATTCACAGATGGTATAACCACTATCAAATTTCAGAACACTTCCATTACCCAGAAAGAAACCCCATATCCATTAACAGCTGTTTTCCAATCCCACCTCCCTCAATACCTGGAAATGAAATGTGAAACCTTCTAGCAGAATCTGTTATTTAGCAAAATCTCAGGGCTGGGGAGAAACCTCAGGAAACCATATGGCTCATTTTCTACCCTTCAAAGCTTCTGGAAGGAGAGCTACACATTTTCACAGTAGCTACTGTGCACTCTACAAATTAACATGAGAGAAGTGGGAGTATGATAACCATATTATACCAGGTTAGATAGTTTCTGCACTCAAAGGGCCTGCTTACCTTGTTATTGTATAGCTTTATGTTCAACCTGGGATCTAACCTTGATATTCTTATGAGAAATTAATACTTTGGGTGTTATGCTCAGATTTATCATACAATATTATTTGACATTTTTTCTACCATTTACTACTTTATTTTAATATAATCACTGGCTTTTCTTTTATGCCTCCTGAATCTTTATGCAAAAACAAGTAAGGTAACTACTTTAGGGAAATCAAGACTTTTTTATTACTACTTTGTTGTCACAGATTCTGTTGGAAGAAATACAATTGCATTTATATGTCTCAACAAGATGCAAAATGTACTTTCACAAGGAGACCCTAATTCCTTTCCATAAAAAGGTTTCTGAAGAGCTTTAATCAAAGAAACAATACTGTTTTGTTATATTAAACAGGAACTTAAAATTGTTTAGAGCAACAAAATAAAGATGTTTCTCTCCCCCCAAATCTGATTACTGTTAATACTTCGGCAATATCAGTAATTAAAAACATCTACTTTACATTTGTCAGGGGGGAAAAGAGGGAAGTATAAGCAAGAAGCTACAATACCAAATAACTTTAATAAAGCTAGATTTTTAAAGGCACCTTCTAGTTTATGAGAGGAGGAATTATCTCAGTTATTTTTTTCCAGAGGATTTTACAGATTTCAGGTGGAAAAAGCAAGTGCCAAAGTGGGAATATTCCCAAATAGCATTGATTGTGAGGGAGGGGGAGGATAATGTCTCAACATAGTGGAACCTGGATACCAAAGGCAGGTCACTTGGATCTTGTCTGAACTACATTTTAGGGAGAATATGGGGTCTTAATACCTTGTTAGCCACTCCTTAAACATTTCTTTTTTTTTTTTTTAATATATTTTATTGATTTTGTACAGAGAGGAAGGGAGAGAGTTAGAAACATTGATGAGAGTCATCAATCAGCTGCCTCTTGCACACCCCCTAGTGGGGATATGCCCACAACCAAGGTACATGCCCCTGACCGGAATCGAACCCGGGACCTTTCAGTCCCCAAGCCGACACTCTATCCATTGAGCCAAACCGGTCCCAGCAACATTTCTTTTTTTAAAATATATTTTTATTGATTTCAGAGAGTAAGGGAGAGGGAGAGAGAAACAGAAACATCAATGATGAGAGAGAATCATGGATCGGCTGCCTCCTGCACGCCTCCACTGGAGATCAAGCTCACAACCCAGGGATGTGCCCTTGATCAGAATTGATCCTGGGACCCTTCAGTCCACAGGCCGAGGCTCTACCCACTGAGCAAACCACCCAGGGCCACACACACACACACACACACACACACACACACACACACACAGAGTTACTAGCCAATCATACCCAGTTATCTCTGTTCAACTCTAATTTTGCCTCTGTCTCTAAGTATTGCATGTGTGAGGTGAGGGATAATTTCGTGTTTGGATACACACCACTTTCAAAATTAACTCAAGTCATTTTCCATTCTTTTTCTCTTTTATAGTTGTCAGTTCTATGCCAGTGGACAACAGGGACCACAATGAAGAAATGGTAAGTTGAAATAGAGGTCCAGAATCTAGACTTATTACTAGACTGTAGATTCTCCCACTTCTTATTACACAAAACCAAGCAAAATAAACAAAAACAAAAAACACATCATAGTCTTACAAAACCAGGTTTTCATCCCTGAGGGAAGGAGGGCAAAGGATGTTCCTCCTGCCCTGGGCTCACACCTCCTTCCTAGATGTTTCAGTGCCTCTGAGGATAACTTTCTCATCCTCCCAGCTTGTTCAGAAATGGATATTTCTTTTCTCAGGGTGATCCTGGCCCAATGTGATCTTGCATTGCTCTGTGGAGAGGCCTGGAAGGTTTCATTAGTATAGGAAACTAATCTACATTCCACCCCAAGGATTCTGCACCAGTACAACTCAGAGCCAAGCCTTTCTGGGCATCAGCTCTGGATTGAGTAGTCTGTCATTCCATTGGTACCAGCTTTTGCCAACCTGCTTTTGGGTTTCCCCCAGGTGACTCGCTGCATCATCGAGGTTCTCTCAAATGCCCTGTCGAAGTCCAATGCTCCACCCATCACTCCCGAGTGCCGACAAGCCCTGAAGAGGAGTAAGTTTCCTGCACTACCAGGGGAACTTTGTCCCTCAAGTGATCCTTGCTCCTGCTGCTTCTATTCACCTTCCACTTTACCTCCAACTGAACCAGGGACATGCAGTGTGTGTGTGTGTGGGGGGGGGGGGGGGGTGAGTACAGACCAGACTGGTATCAGAGGAGGCAGAAGATGTGGCTTCTAGGCTCTATTCTGCCACCTGATAGCTATGTGACCTTGGGACACTGCATGCCCTGTCCCTTTGGGATTATTCATCGAAGTACAATGAGGGGGCTGAACTCAGTGATTGTCTTTGAGATGTCTGTCGGTTGGTTCTTAAATTTGTTGGTTCCAGAGTTCGGATTTTCATTGGGGTGCAGGAAGATGTGCGGAGTGCTTGTTGGTGATTGGAGGAAGGAGGATTGAGTGTTCTGGAAGTGCTGGAAGATGGAGGAGTAGAAGGATATTTTAAGAGTATTCTCCTCTTTGCCTTTTACTCTTGACAGTGATGATCTTCCAAGTTAGAAGCTGGGAAAGGTGACTTGGAAACATGTGGCCTGTTTACATGACAGATTGGTTAAGCCATTTTAACGCAGAGATTATTCTCAGGGAGGTACTACCAAATGGTACCAGGAATTCTGGGCCTTTGAACTGGAAAGGGTGAGGGTAGAAGCAGAGCATCCAATGAGTCAGAGCAATAACCTTCTGAATCTAGACGAGATGTTTTCTCTACACAAATCAGCTTCTGTTGAAAACAAAACCGGAACAGTGACGCAAGCAGTATCAATTAGGAGTTGACGTTAAGAGATCAATTTTATACAACTATGCAGTCTCTCTTATGAGAGAAGTCAAACTGATTTAAATAAATCCAAAAACACTGTTCCCATCAGCACCTCTTTATGCTTTTAAATTTTTAGTCAGGCTGGGAACAGTGGACTCTTCTTTTTCTTTTCACCTTCAAAATTTCTCATTGCACTTAGATGCACAGCCCAATAGTGCAGTGAAGGCCAGGGATGGGGCAGGAGCCAGGCAGAGGAGGGCAAAGGGAAGAATGGGGGACATCTCAACAACAAAAATAAAAAATTTTAAATTTCTCATTACAATATAATAGTCTCTTGCTATTGCTGCACATGAACCCTTAAGCATAAAATGGTAAAAACAAATATTAGCAATTGACCAAAAGAATTGCCTGGGAGACTCACTCCACCATTGGGAGTTTCAGGGTAACCTTAATAGGTGTACGAACCTCTTCCATTGGGTTGATCGGGTCATCCTTGCAACATTATAGAGATGGAACGTGTTAGTTCCTTTTTTTACTTGAAAGAGTGAGCTGTGCGCCTTGGTTTTACAGATGGACAGTGACTCTGCTTCTAATCACAGCCCTCCTCTAATCTCACCTGCGGGAGCTTAAAGCTAAATTTAGGAGGAAGTGCTAAGCTTCAGGCATAAGCTGCTATAGGCAGCACATGTTTAACTGGGGAAAAATAAAAATACTCTGCTCCTGACCAGCAGGCAGTAGGAAGGGGCCACACAGTCTCTGCCCGGGAAGCTGAGATCCTGTCTGATCATGGCATTATTTCCGCTGACTCTCAGAATGACAGTGGTATCTGGGCAAAGCCTCCCTGCTTACCTGTGCCTACCTGGCCAGCTCCGCCAGCCCCATCAGCTTCAACGCTGCACATAACACCACTGGCTCTTTTTTTTTTTTTAATATCTTTATTATTTTATTTATTATATTTTTATTGAGTTTTTACAGAGAGGAGGAATAGAGGGATAGAAAGTTAGAAACATCGATGAGAGAAACATCAATCAGCTGCCTCTTGCACACCCCCTACTGGGGATGTGCCCTCAACTAAGGTACATGCTCTTGACAGGGATTGAACCTGGGACCTTTCAGTCTGCAGGCCAACGCTCTATCCACTGAGCCAAACCGGTTCCGGCAACCACTACTGGCTCTTAAAAGGCAAAGGGACTGGTGAGGTCCAGCCATTAGGTATCTGGGTGTGAAAGGTCAGAGATATTTCAACTGTCTCATAAAAAATGAAAATGTTATCATGGCAGGCTGGGCATTAAGCAGGGGGATACAGACCTTCCACTGTTTCTTGAACATTTTTGCAAAACAGACCAATTCTATTCTATTTTGCAAATGTCAGTTCACCATGACTCATCAGAGCCATGAAAATGAAAATAATAATGTGAACCACAAATATAATTTCAAATTTTCTAGTAGCCACACTAAAAAGATAAAAAGACAAGTGAAATCAATTTTAATAATATACTGAATTTTATCTAATATATTTTATTTACTATGTAATTTGTATACATCCAATATATTTATGATATATAGTATCCAAAACATTCAAAATATAGTTATTTCAACATATTATCAATATGGAAAATTAAGATGTTTTACAATTTTCATATGAAGTTTTCAAAATCTGGCGAGTACCTTACTCTTATAGCACATCTTTCATTTGGACCAGTCACATTTCAAGTGCTAAAGAGCCAGAGAGCTGGTGGGCCTTACAATGGACAGCTCAGATATAGCCCCAGAGCTGTGAGTGGCGTTGGCTGCAGGCATTCTATCTGAATTCAGTGATAGAAGTTGAAATCCAAACGTCCCAGCTAACAAGTCAGACAGTGTTAACTGCAGATCTCCTTTCATGGGATGTCCTTAAGTTAAGGAGGATGTAGGACAGGAGCTGTCGGCATTTGAAAAAGATGGGAGAGAACAGCATTCAATTAAAATATTGGGATATATCATCTACTGTTGACTCTTGAAAAGTACAAAGAAAACTCAGTCTCCTGGTCTTCATTCTCAACGTTTTGAGAGCATTTTGGGCAGATGAGACTTGAGTGAAGAAAGAAATGGCCTTTCCACTGCTGTGTAGTTTTTTTTAGTAAAGAAATATACACCCTTCTTCTCACCAAAACTGTTACATTGTCATTATGGCTAGGTTTAATATGCATAGTTGAATGGGTAATAAAAGTCTGATAAACTAAAAATTTAAAAAAATTTCCATTTTCCTTTGAATCCTGTTATTTTTTATTTTGGTGATTTAACTTTATTTAGCTGGATTCTAGGTGGAGCCATGAACACAATGGTAACTTTTCAATCCCTACTTAGAGCAAAGATGGAAAGAATAGTCTCGAATCACACTTCTCTTAGTTTCAAGATCTCAGTCTGCAAAAAGATAAATTAGACAAATTCAAAGGTTTCTTCTGGTTATAAATTCTAGTATTTCATAAATCTATACTTGGATTTCAGTTTGATCATCAATAGGGCCAATGAGAAATGATGGTTGGGTGTTATAAAAACATAAAAATAAAGAATTTATTATTAGATTTAAACAGCCTAGGAGTTTTCATACCATTTGATTTTAAAGGGAATCTAAGTATTTCTTTATTAACTTAAACATTTTCCAAGTGATTGTTCAGCGTCCTTAGGATTTGCAGTGATCACTGAGATTGGTACTTGTTGAACCACAAGCAATTCTGAAGTCACACCTACTCTTTTAAATTTTTCATTACAGATGGAAAAGAAGTTAAAGATGAAGAGAAAAGTGAAAATGAAAAAACAAGGTTCCAAGTAAGATTGTTAAGAGACCAAGCTGACGCCTCAGAAGCCCGCAGGCCCTCCAGTAGGGAAGACACAGGAGAACCGGAGGAGGCAGACATCCAAGGCCTGTCAGTGGCCAACACAGAGGGAGGTGGGCACAGCCGAGAGGGAGCAGGTGAGCCCCAAGAGAGCCTCCATCCCTCTGAGAGTAAAGTCTCCAAAGAAGTGAAGACATACCATTCTGAGAAGAGCGAGGGAGAGGAAGGCGAGAAACACCCAAAAAGGGAGCATGGGGAAGGTGGCAGTGAAGAGAAACACCTGGAAGAGCCAGGCGAGACACAAAGTGCCTTTCTTGACAAAAGAAACCAGGCTACAGCTAAGAAAAAAGAGGAGATAATGTCCAGATACAATCCACCCTCGGCCAGGCTCCCGGAGGAGAAGACACACAGCAGGGAGAGGAGTAGCCAAGAGAGCAGAGAAGAGACAAGGAACCCGGAGAGACACTCCCAAGAGTCTAAAAGCCAATCTGGGAGCCAGGAAGAATCTGAGGAAAGTGAGGAAGATGCCAGCCATGAGCTGGACAAACGGCACTGGAGGCCGAGACATCACCATGGGCGGAGCAGGCCTGACAGATCCTCTCAAGAAAGGAATCTTCCCTCTGAGGAAAGGGGACAACCCCATGCGGAACCTGAAGAGCCCAATGTGGGCATGGCCAGCTTAGGAGACAAGAGGGACCGTGATCCAACCCACTACCGGGCTTCAGAGGAAGAACCTGAATATGGGGAAGACATGAGGAATTACGCAAGAGTCCAGGCACCTGAGAACCTGGCCGGGGGGCGGTATGGGGGCAGAGAAAATGAGAAGTACGGGGCTCCAAGGCCTCCCAGTGATGAGAGCCAGGACGAGGACAGGCGAATTCACCCTAATGCAGAGCTTGACAACATGGCTTACGGATATGATGAGGAGAGTGAGGAGAGGGGCCCTGAGTGGGGATATCGCCACAGAGCCAGGGTAGGGGAGCCTGGGGCCTATGCCAGCCCAGACAAAGCAGAGAAACGATTCTTGGGTGAAGGACACTACGGTGTTCAAGAAAACCAGATGGACAAAACAAGGAGGCACCCGCAGGGCGAGTGGAAAGAGCAGGACAGAAATGACCTCAACTATGGTGAGGAAAATGGGGAGGAAGGGGCCCAGGGGACATGGCAGCGGCAGGAGAATCTGCAAGACACCCAGGAGAACAGGGAGGTGGCCCGGCTTCCAGGCAAGCAGTATGCTCCCTATCATACCACCGAGAAGAGGAGGAGGTTAGGGGAACTGCTGAACCCTTACTACGCCCCCTCCCAGGTGAAGAGCAGCCACTTTGAGAGAAAAGACGACACAGATGACAATCTTCTTGAGGGTGAAGATGAAAATGGCCTGACCTTGAATGAGAAGAATTTCTTCCCAGAATACAACTATGACTGGTGGGAGAGAAAGCCCTTTGAGGAGGATGTGAACTGGGGGTATGAGAAGAGAAACCTGGTCCCCAAACTGGATCTGAAGAGGCAGTATGACCGAGTGGCCGAACTGGACCAGCTCCTGCACTTCAGGAAGAAGTCGGCTGAGTTTCCAGATTTCTATGACCCCGAGGAGCTGCTGAGCCCACGCCACGCAGTGGAAGGTGAAAAGGACAGGGCTGGCCCCGGAGTTCTGACCAAGGAAGAGGTACCGTGTGGGGATTTTTGTTTAAAATTAACTTAAGATGGTTAATGTTAATATGCCCAAGACTATCTGATATTAATGGGGAGAAACTGGTGGGACTTAATCACCATGATAATGCACCCTAGTTAATGGAGTGGAGACGACTTATGTTTGGTTCCTGCTCCGCCCTCCATCCCCCACCCCTGATATCTTGCCACTGTGTCGCCATTCCTGCCCACCTGCTGCTCAACCTTGACCACACACCGTAATCCCCTGGACAGCTTGCAGAATTACTAATGTCTGGGACTCACCCCCAGAGATTCTGTTTGGTACTGGGTGCTGCCTGGGAATTGGACTTTTTTTTTTTTTTTTTTTAAAGCTCCCAGATGGTCTCAGTTTTCAGCCATGGTTGATAACCAACCACTGCTTTGGTGTCTTCCCTTGCTTACTGGCATTGCATCACTATTTCCCAAGGAAGAACAGATGATAGAGATATTAGTTATTGTGGTCTTTCCTTGCCAGCACCGGACTGGTAATAATCAGACATTTACACCTGGGAGAGGTAACATGATCAGAGCTGTCCCCTTTTCCTCATATTGACCACACAGGTGCTTCTCAAACGTGACTGTGCATCCGCATTTGGAATTCAGTAAGTCCCAGGTGGAGTCCAAGAATCTGCATTTCTGACCAGTTCCTCAGTGATGCGACAGGTGCTGTGATTAGGGGCTACCCTTTAAGAACCACTGATGTAGGGTGTCTCATATAACCCCTAACATATAAAAAATTCTCCTTTCTGTTCATGCTGCCTTAGACTACAATGAAATAAATTGATCTGGGGCCTTCTATTTTTCTGTGTTTTTTAGGAAAAAGAACTTGAAAACTTGGCTGCAATGGACTTGGAACTACAGAAAATAGCTGAGAAGTTCAGTGGTAATCGAAGGGGGTGAAGGTCCTTGGAGTCAAGGGCCATTTTAAGAAGCAGCCTTCACATTATCTATTTCCCACCACTTCACCGGAAGACACCATTTATTTAGCCAAAGGCAGAAAATAGAATTTATTATTCATTAAGTGCTTGAAGCAATTGGGAATGTCTTTAATTTTTGCCAGAATGCTATTGAAAATAAAAATAGCATGACTTGTAGCATATTCTCTTGCAAAATCAACATATTAACATGCTTGTGACAATGACTGTGCTACCATCTTTGAAAAAAATATGTTTGTATCAGTTTAAAATAATAAAAGATACATCTGAAACCAAAAGTTTCATGTTCTCAGCTTCCTTTGGGCTAATATGGAGGAATGTGATTTCCAAATCCACTCTTTAAGCTAAAGACAGCACTAGGATTTATTGGTTTTAGGTTTAAAATAGGAAAAAAATGCAAAACTTTCAAGGATGTAATGAGAGATCAGGAAAAGACATTTGCTCCTGGAAACTGGATAAAGATTAAATAGGCTTAAAGAACCTGTTTGGGGGAAAAAATGAGCTAAGACATTACTTTAAAAATCCTATAATCTGGAGAGCTCTGGGAATATCCAGCCAATGGTCACTTTTCAGGGATGAGGAGAAAGCCTGGATAATGGGAAGAACTCTGGATTGGGAATCATATCTGGTCCAGAAAGATCTCTGGGCCATCAGGACCTGATTTTTACTCTATAAGGCAGGGATGGGGAAACTTTTTTCTGCCAAGGGCCATTTGGATATTTATAACATTATTAGTGGCCCGGTGCATGAAACTCATGCACACTAAAAGGGATTAGAGAAAATATTTTAATATTGCAGTTTGCCTTTTCTCTATAATAGAAGTGTCAGAGATTAAAGAAAATTAGTAAAATGTATATGAAAATCTTCCTCCTGTCAGAGTCTGGGGTGCACCGTGGGATCCAGAGTCAAGTCCCCACCCATTTACATGTGCCTCAAAATCATGCGAGAGCCAGACCTGGTCGCCCCCTGCTCCAATGGGCTAGATACAGACCTGGCAGATCTTACCCTTGTCAAGCCCCACCAGGTGGGGGGCACAGCATCAGGTCCCCTGGCCTGGCACTGGGGTGGGGGGCATGGTCTGATGTCCCCCAGCCCAGGCTAGGGTGGGGTGATCCTTGAGGTCCCCCATCAAGCCTTGCTGGGTGGGGGGCACAGCCTGAGGTTCCCAGCCTGGTGCCAGGGCAGTGGGTACAGCCTGAGGTCCCCTGTCAAGCCCCATAGGAGCAAGGGTGGGGGGCGAGTAGCCTCAGGTCCCTGCTGATTGCTCGTTAAGGCTCATTATGGGAACTCAGCCTCCACTGTGGGTGCAGCCATCTTGTGTTACAGAAACCCCACCGCCCCTGTGGGCGCATCATCTTTGTGGCAGAGTGATGGTCAATTTGCATATTCCCTAATTATTATATAGGATTCGCAGGCCATACAAATTTATCTACTTAAAAATTATCAACTTAGACTGCTATATTTGGTCAAACATTTAATTAACCCACTTCTAATGCTTTGGCAGGGCAGGAGGTTAGTGGTTGAGCATCAACCCTTGAACCAGGAGGTCACAGTTCGATTCCCATAGCAGGTATGCAGGAGGCAACTGAATGACGATTTTCTCTCATCATTGATATATATATATTTTTTTAATATATTTTATTGATATTTCAAGGAGAGGAGGAAGGGAGAGAGATAGAGAACTAGAAACGCTGATGAGAGAGAAACATTGACCAGCTGCCTCCTGCACAACCCCCACCAGGGATGTGCCTGCAACCAATGTACATGCCCTTGACTGGAATCGAACCTGGGACCTTTCAGTCCGCAGACCGGCGCTCTACCACTGAGCCAAACCAGCTTCAGCTCATCATTGATATTTCTCTCTCTCTCTCTCTCCCTCTCCATCCTCTCTTTGAAATCAATAAAAGCATATTAAAAAAAAATAATAGAAGTCAAGGATTGCCCAGGGCCACCAACTTCTTTTAATTACAATAATATATGTTTAAGGTGAAAACATCAAGTTAATGACAAGAACACTCTGGCTGCTGGGTTGAGATAAGGCAGTGGGGAAGTGAGGGCAGAGATCAGAAGCCAATAAGGAGGCCATTGCAATAATCCTGGTGGGTCATCATGATGGCTGGGACCAGGATGATGGCCCTGACGGTGGGACCTATTTTAGAGAGACATGACAGATGGGCTGATGGATTTGGTGTGGCATGAGAGAAAGAGGCGGCACAGATTATACCAAGGTTTTAGGCCTGAAGAACAGATGTGGGGAAGACTGCAGGAGGGACTGTCTTGGGAGGGGAGATATGAGCAGCTCAGGTTGGGATATGTTGAGTTTAATATGTGACCAGACACCAAGTGGGAGTGTTGAGTTGGGTATATGTGTCTGGAGTCATCATCATAGAGATGGTATGAAAGCCTTAAAACTGGGAGAGATCGCCTTCTTTTCTATAAATGAGCCAAAGACAGCCTCTGTGCATTAGGTTGGTTATTTCTTCACTGTAGGCTGAGGACTATTAGTTCAAAAGCCTGCCAGGGCCAGACTTAAATTTTACACATCCATTTATTTTAAACGTCATCCAAATGAGCAAACGTTGATATTTAGGACTACCTGCCTACCTCTGCCAAAGCGCATCTGGCATCTGGTGGCCAGTGATATGTTATCACATTATTTTATTTTGCCCCTCAGAGCTCTTAGACCCAGCAATTCCCTGCCACTCTGCTGAGCAATATTGCTAGACATAAAAGGCACCTCTCCGATTCCCCTCTCCCTGGGAGTTCTCTTGTCCCGCTTCCCATCTGAGTAGCAGCTCCAAGGTATAGCCTCTGGGCAGATTTCCGCTGTGAAGGACATCTCCCTTCCATCTTCAAAACCTGTCAGGGGTCACCCATTACACAATAAAATATGTGGATGCTACTGCCACCTCATGGGCATATCTTTTTCTTTCATCATCTCCCAAATCCTTCCACCTAGGGAGTGAGTGTAGACAAAAAAAGTGAAGAGGTGCAATTGGTGAGCTAACTGGTGCAATATTTCTCTAAATATTCATCTCAGAGGGGATGAGGAACCAGCAGTGGAGATGGAGGAAGAAAGGCCAGAAAGGAAGAAGGGAAACCAGGAGAGTGCTGTCCGAGAAGCCACGGGAGGAAAACCATAGCAAGGAGAGGGGTCAACCATGTCAGATGCTGCCAGCAGGTTTGGGGGGCCCAGAAGGATCACTTAAATTCATGGTCAGCACACTTCCTTTTCTTTTAAAAAAATATATATATTTTAATTGACTTCAGAGAGGAAGGGAAACATCAATGATGAGGATCATTGGTAGGCTGCCCAAGGGACTGAGCCTGAAACCTAGACATGTGTCCCTGACCAGAAATCCAATCATCTCCTGATTCATAGTTGACAATCACTGAGCCACACTGTCTAGGCAGCACACTTTTTCTTAAAAGAGCCAGGTAGCACATACGTTAGGCTTCGAGGGTCATATGGTCTCTGTCACAACTGTCCGCCTCTGCCACAGAATAAAAGCAGACAGGAACCATAGATATACAAATTAGCATGGCTGTGTTCTACTAAAAGTTAATTTATGGGCACTGCAATTTGAATGCCATGTAATTTTTGCAAGTCACAGAACTATTCTTTTACTTTTCCCTCAACCATTTAAAAATGGAAAAATCATTTTTAGCTTACAGGCCATACTGGCAATGAGCAAGATTGGACTTGTGGGCTATATTTTACTGAGCCTAATTTAAATAAATCACATTTTTTTTTCTTTTTTGCCCTCTCTTCCTTGAGACTGTCACCATGTTTACTAGAAAGAGGTTTTCAAACCACAAATCATTAGTCCTCAAAATAAACTATATTGAGAGGAAAATAACTTTCAAAGGTTAGGGTTAACTTGTTGCTAATGCAGGTCAGTCCACAAACCCAACCCCAAGGGCAGCTTGGTGGGAATACAGGTAATGCAGAACAGACTGAATGGATAGAATGAAACTTGGGAATGGGCTGACAAGGAAAAGATGGTTCTAACAGTCATCAGTGGAGACCAGCCACTACTGAGTCTATGCCCCATTCCCCTTGACCAAACTTAACTGGTTGTATGCGGGTGATACCTGCAAGTGCCGTTTGCAAAGGCAAGTTTAGTGAGGTGCCACTCAGGGCATGTTTTCTTACAGACCATGTGTCACCATCAGCAGAAGGCCAGTAAATGTGGTGTCCCAGACGGCATCATTAATGTCAGGCCAACAGATCCCGGTAGAAAACACTTTTATTCTTTAAAAGCAATTGTTATAAGAAAAAAGAATCAGAACTGTACCTGGTAATCACACTGGCCATTATTAAAATAGTGCATGCTATTCGGAAAAGCATTCTTTTTTTTTCTTTTTTTTTTTCTGAGATGCTCCTGGCTGATCATCTGTATTGTAATGATATGAACAATACACACCATGAGTGTGTTTAGTGAGCAAGACTCGTGGACGAGAGCCTTGGCTGACTTGAAACACTTGTCTTGGCTGCGGCAGATGCCCAAATAATGTGATTATATTTTTTCAGAGCTTGAAAGGCTAACCAACTAATCATGCCAGAGCTCAACAAACCAGCATTAATAATCACCAAAAAGGCACTTTAAAATACATTTGACAAGGAGTGACACTAATGCAATGAGAACGGGTTTAAGCCCTGTGCTAAACTTTGTCAGAGTTATAGGGATAGTGCATTCTGTCTCTCTGTGTGTATATATATAAATATCTATATATATGAATATATACCAACATCCATACACAGCAGGTCCTCGGATAACATCAGTTCATTCAGTGTCATTTCATAACATTGATGAGATGCTTTAAGAACTTAATTCTTGTTTCTATGAACTAGCATACGGTAAGATTGGTTTCAGTATACATTGTTTTTGCTTCAAGTCACAGAATCTACTGATAACGTTAAATGAGGACTCACTGCACATACATTTGTGTATCCAATTACGT